AAAAGTAAGTTGTCGGTTTTTCTTTGGGAGAAAAGAAACAAAAAGAAAACCATAGCACATTATTATGGTGTGCTTTTTTAAAAAAAATGTAATTGTTTGCTTAATGAGTTAGGAGACTAATTTTTGACCTCGTGGTCAGCGTTTGTAAATTTCTTTCTTACTGTTTTTTCTCCAGGTCCTAGTAGGGTTTTTTTCAATTTATTCATAAAAATGGTTGTGTTTTTCGTGGGTTCCTTGTGTATTTTTTAAGTCAACCTATAAGATTTTACAGGAATTTGAAATATCTGTATACAGTTTTGCAAAACTAAAATTATTCCATTAATGTTGCATGCATGTCTGCTGCTCGTGAAGAGTCATGACTTTATATTTTTACACAATATCGAGAAATTTAGAGTCGATATGCTGTGGTGGTGTGTGACGTGATATGTTCTGGAATCCTCTTAATAATAAGCAATGATATAGAATGGAAATACATACAAAAACCAAAAGCTACAGTTTTTGGGATGTTTATTAATCCTGTAAAAGTTGGATTACTAACATTTAAAATAATATGAAATCTTAGGCCTGATTTATACAAGTCTTTGCCTCACCTGGAAGCTGTTTTTCTTTTTCCAGATAAATCAGATTTTCCTCCCTTCCTATCTAGATTACATTGGGTCTAACGAATTCCCAATAAACATGAGCATCTGGAAATAATGGGACCATAAACCTAATCGGTGTTAGATGTAAACTATCAGTACATATTTAATAATCATTCTATATAATTCTGATTGGCTAAAATGTAAATAGGTAAGCTGTTAGTAGGCAGGAATTCTTCTCTGTGGGAATCGAGTGAATCCAATAATGTCTTATTTTTCTGCATTCTGCTATGCAGAAAGCATGAGTTGAGTGATTTTGAAACAGTTTTGTTTCAGGATTGTTTGCATTTATTGAAAATAAATTTCTCTAATTTTCATGCTAGACTGTTAATATATGGGTTTTCTTTAAAAGAAAATCATAATCATCCAAGCTACCTCAGTTTATTGCAACACAAATGGATACTACAGCATTAGAAAATTTGTATATTGGTCTTCCAGCATTGCATTCATGGGCGTGGTATTAAAGCAAGTATTACCAGATGTTTTCAGAAAAATTCATAGAATGCTTGTTAGATGTGTATATTACAATAGTAGTTTCGTCATGTTGTTACAAAGAATTTAAAAAATAGATTAGTTAAATGAAAAAACAGTGTAATAATTATAGATTTTTTTCTAGATCAGAGTTGTGGTGAATTATATAATAGTGTGCAATTATTGGGTGTTTTTTATTTGTTTGCTTTTATTTGTTTTGTGTCCCTGAAGTTATTTCAAGGAATATGGATTGCATTGCTTACCCTGGTTTTAGTATTTTTAAACCAAATAATATATAATATTTCCAGTATCCCAGAGATTATTATTTAGAGAAGTATTCAATTTAATTGAAGGAAGAATAACAAATGAAAACATTATTGCAACCTGTTGACAATTTTTTTTGCTGATATCAAAGTAAATTTTATCAATAGATTCCTTTGCATTCCTTTAGCTTGAGTTTCCTTCTTTTATTGTACCACAGCTCCAATTGATTTGTCTTTTGTCAAGTTATTTTATTTACTTATACAATTTGTATATCTGTCACCAGAAAACAAATAAGTACAAATAGACGAAACATAAAACTGTAACATATTCAGCAACCAAGTTACCAAAACTTTCAGCAAAACCAATGAACAACTTCACATTGCAACTAGGTCCTCCAGCCTGATGACAAAGTTGCATATTCAAGGCCTTCCTAAAAGCCAGTAGGATCAGACCCAATCTGATCTCCGGGGAGGAGGGATTATATTCCAAAGAGCAGGAGCCTTATCAGAAAAGGTGGTCTTCCTGAGTTCCATCAGATGACACTCCATTATAAATAAGAAACACAACATGCCTCTTCTGCCAGATTTGATGGGATTTCTAGATGTAACCAGGAAAAGGAAATCCTTCAAGTACTCTGATCACATGTCATATAGAGCTTTATAGATCATTACCAGCACATTGAATTGTACCCAGAAGTATACTGACAACCAGTGTATCTCATGGGACAGAATAGTCAAATGCACTAAACAGTGAGGTCTCATAAATGCTCACATGGATGCATTCTGCATCAATTGCAGCTTCTAGATCTGTGATGGCGAACCTGTGGCACATGTGCCACAGGTGGCACGCAGAGCCCTCTGCGGGCATGCGAGCCATCGCCCAGCTCAGCTCCACCACACATGCCTGCCTCCCACTGGCCAGTTGATTTTCTGGTCCCTACTGCACATGTGGGAGACGCGCGTGCAGGGGCAGGGGGTTGTGCCCCCCACTCTGTTTTTGGTGCCAGGAGGCTTCAGGGAGGGTCTCCAGAGCCTGGGGGAGGCAATTTTCCCCCTCCCAGAGGCTCGAAGAAAGCCTCTGGACCCTGGGGAGGGCGAAAAATGAGCCTTCAAGAAGTTCCGGAAGTCTGGAAACAGGCCTGTTTCTTTCCTCCAGAGGAGGCTGTTTTCGCCCTCCTGGAGGCTCGAGGAAAGCCTAGGGATGGTGAAAACACCCCCCGAGGTTCAAGCATGCATGCACTGGGGGTTCATGTGAGCATCCGCGGGGGGGGGAGTGGGGCGCATTGCATTGTGGGTGTGGGCATACGCACGCTGTTGTGCGCACACGTACGATTTCAGCATGCGAGGACATAAAGGTTAGCCCTCACTGTTCTAGATGCTCTTCATGAAGTGTGATGTCATTTGATCACATTAGTTAGTGATGGATGTCCCTTTTAAAGGATTGTGCAGGTTTTTGTGAGGACTGTACATGACACAAGACAAGGTGCTGAATGGATGGGTGGGTGCCACAGGTAAGCACTACAGAGTGAAGGCAGGTGCTGTGCCACAGAGAGAACTATGGAATACAAGATCCCCATGCCACTTGGAGGCTCGGAGGGGGGGGGGGGTTGAAAGCAGGAGCAATTTACGACTTCCTGCTAATTTCCCCATTTAGTTTGCTTGTGGGAAGCCAGCAGGGAAGGTAGCAAATGGCAATCACATGATCATAGTACACGGTAGCCATCAGAATTGCAAACCAATTGTCAAGCGTCTGAATTATGATCATATCAAATAGCAGGGATGCTATGACATCTGCAACTTCAAGCAATGGCTTGAAGTTGTTCATCACTGTCATAATTATGAATGGTTGTTAAATGAGGACTACCTGTAGAGCCCTTTTTAAACATTGCTAAGAGGTGTTTTTTTTTCAAAGCAATTGTTTGGAAGACATCTATAATGCAGGACAGTAGCCACAATGAATTGCTGTTTAATATCACTTTCCAATACATAGCATACAGAATAGTAGGCAACGTTGAAAAGCTCATATATGTTTTATTATTTCTGGTAATATTGATCACCGCTGTTTGTAGTACAGCATTTGTAATACAAATGAAAGTCTTACTGCCACCGCTGTTTCCCTTGTTTTAATTCATGTAGCTACATGTGGACAAACATGCTTACATTGCATTGTTATGCAGGTTACTTGTGTTGGTACTTCACCCTATAGTGGAGTCCAGTGTGTTTATTTTTGTTGCTTCTTTTCACTGGAGTCCAATGAGCTCCAACATACAGTGTAAAATGTAAGTTGTGCTGGCTTTTTGAAAATCCCAATAAGAACACATAAGCATCTGTAGCTGCTGAAGAATATAGGTTTTAAAAATATATTGTATGGTTATCACTGGTGTGCAGTTGTGTATGTATGTAGTGAAACAACAAGAAAAAAATAGCTAAGCATCTCCAGCTTGCCAGTACTTTCCTACTAGTTTGAGGTCAAAAAAGGAATGGGGAAGGAGGAATATTCAAATACAGTTCTAAATTTTAAATCAAGGGCCATGAATTTAAATGTTGATAACACAATTCCGTGTCCAGGGGAATCGTAATTGTCTTTGCCTCACAGATAAATAACATTAGGAGAATAGATGTTGGCACACATTGTTTGCAGCAAAGTCAAACAAGTAATATAGAAAAATTCCAGGCATGGATTTTGTCCCTGGTTTAAAAAATCTGAACTAAAATGTTTTGCTTTTTTCTAGCTTGTTCTTCAGCTTTCTAGTTTAACCTACCACCAAGATTCCCTGATGGTTTTTCATCCAGGTTTTAACTAGTAACTACATGCAGTCCTTGATATAGGACCACAATTGAGCCCAAAATTTCTGTTGTTAAGTGAGATATTTGTTAAGTGAGTTTTGCTCCATTTTATAACCTTCTTTGCCACAATTGCCACAGTAATTAAGTGAATCACTGTAGTGGATAAGTTAGTAACACAGTTAAGTGAATCTGGCTTCCCCATTGACTTTGCTTGTCAGAAGGTTGCAAAAGGTGATTGCATGACCTTGGGACACAGCAACAGTCATAAATATGAGCCAGTTGCCAAGCATCTGAATTTTGATCAACTGATTATGGGGATGCTGCAAAGGTCATAAGTGTAAAAAATGGCCATAAGTTGCTTTTTTCAGGGCTGTTATAATTTTGAATGGTCACTAAATGAACTGTTGTAAGTCAAGGACTACCTGTATAGTACTTAATATCTGGATAATCTAGTCTGAGCCCAAAAGCTATCAAATGCTAAACACAAATATGGCTGGAATCCAAAAAATTGCTGCAAGAAAGACAAAAAGTGGCACATCTAGTGGGATTTTCTACTTTTTCCTTGAACTGTAAATCTCCATTTTATCCTCTATGCTTTTCTATGTTTGAGAATGTTGTTTAAAATACTGAGCAGACTTTTGGATGGGGAGTGGGGAGGGACAATTGTCATGGCAGTTAACTGTAAATTAGATTATTTTCTGTTTGGTTTGGAAAAGGCATATAAATTATCAGTTGTAACCGCCCTTTCTTTTGACGCTGAACTGAACTCTTCTTTTCATTGGTTACTTGCCTAACGTCATCAGTATGAACTTGATCATCTTTTAGCCAAAGGTACATCTCTATTTCTTTCCTTTTCTGCCTGCCTTTTTGGAATTTGATATCCCTCTTTGCAAATTGCTACTGTCACAGTAAGTATTATGTGTCATTGTTAACTCTTAGACTCCATTCTAAGGGAGTGACTTCTTTGATCATTATAACTAGCACTATCTTTGAAGGGTTAGATATTGTATTATAATTTTAAACACCTTTACCTGAAAGTGTTTTCCATAATTCTTTAGCACTACAGATCTTTAAAAAAAAGAGAGATATTGTATTTGTTATTAAATAGACATTTTCAAAAGGGAAATTTGTACTTGCAATTTCTCTAATCAAATTACAAAATTTCTTTCCACGGCAGTACATTTTTGCTGCATTTTATTATACACAGTTCCCTCCCAATTTAAAGTCCTTACAACAATTTAAAAAAGATGAAATTTCTTGACAATGCGCAGTTGCAAGTAATTTTAAGTTATCACAATTTGGCCACCAACTATTGTAATTTAATCAGCAAACGACCACAAAAAAAATCATACTTTATTATGATATGTGAATTAATTTCATTGCTATAATCCAGAGTGCTCATTTGGATTTCATGTACATTGAATGACAAGTCTAAAGCTGGATTTCTTAAGAAATAAAATCAACAAAATTCTATAGGCTTTAATCTGATGTGGGCATAGGATTTGTAAACTTGTAATAAAATTCCTTATATATCAATTCAGCATTATGTTGTCTTAAATTGTACAACCAATTTCTAGGCAAATATATATACATATTAGGATTTCATTTACTTTATTTTTTATCTTTGCAAAGCACATTAGTTTTTATGAATTCTGTATCAAAGTATTTTTAAACTAACCTTAAAAGGTGACCAAATGGGTAGTAAATAGCAGTCGTACAAATCAAGAATATCAAAAAGAAGCTTGGTGTTTTTTAAATATGTAGCTCTACATATCCTAATTTAGATTTTTTTTTTTGAAAAAAATAACTTTTCTGAAAGCTATGCAGTCTATCTTATTTATGCCTATTTGAAAACAAATTCCTTTATTAAGTCAAATTTATTTTCAGATAGCTGCATACATGTACAGGTAGTCCTCAACTTATGATTGTAATTTCCACTGTAAGTCACCACATGCATAAGGTAAGGCATCCACATGACCGAACCCAGTTTTATGACACTTTTGCAGCAGTCATCAAGCATATGTGTGATCATTAAGTGAATCAAAGTATTCCTATGGCTATTTCTTGCTGGAAACCAACCATAAAGGTGACCTAGGTGCTAAATGCCCAAAATGTGGTCATGTAACTGGGGGTTTCTGCAGTTATTGGAACTCCAGAACAGGGTTGTAAGTAGCTTTTGGGGGTTTGTCATAACTTTGAATGGTCACTAAGTGACTAGTTGTCAGTTGAGGCCTACATGTATAGACTAAAACAGTGATGGCTAACTTTTTCCAGACTGAGTGTCCAATGCGCACACATGTGCCCAAACCAGAGGTGGTTTGCTGCTGGTTCTCTTCATGCGTACCAATGTGCACTGTGCACACCAGACACGCGTTGTGTGTGCATGCACAGTTGATTATAAATTTTCTGTGCATGCGCAGAACATTAAAAAGTACTAAAAAACACTGGAGAACCGGTTCAGGGGCATGGCCAACTTGGGTCGCTGCCAGTTCTGCGACCCAGGCCAAAATACCACTACTGGTTCACCCTAACTAGTGCAAATGGGTAGCAACCCACCTCTGGGCCAAGCCCCCAAAATGCAATGCACATGTGGCCCTCACACCGGCGCCCCAGCCCCTGCACATGCGTGCATAGCCTCCCACATATCCCCCAACCCCCACATATGCCCCAACCCCCACACGCGCCCTGGCCCAGCACATGTACGGGCACCCTTGCATGTGCCCTACACATGCGTGGCAGAGATCTGATGACCAGCTGGCCAGCAGGAGGTGCAGTGTAGTTGAACTAGGGTAATAGCTCACGTGGCCACAGAGAGTGTTGCGTGCCACAGATTCGCCATCACAGGACTAAAATGTTTTATTGCTGTTTCCTGAATTAAAGAGCTTCACAGTTCTATAGAGTTTGTTTACATTTCTTCTGGATAGACGTAAAAACTGTTGCAGCAGAAGGGTTGTGATTCTTTTTCCTTCCCTTCTTTTCAATCATCACTCTATCTTTTAGTTGTGAAAAGCCCAATGAATAATATATGTCTTAATGGGCAAAATTTAGGTGAACCAACAATGTCTGCCTAGTCCATGACAGTGCTTTGCCTGGGAATAGGAATGTATGCTTATTACCAAAGAAGGGTCTTATTTAAGTCAGTATCTTCCTTGCCAATTCCATGGCCATTTGACATTACATTTTACATGGGCCTCTTTCTAACCACAACACCCCCGCCCCCCAGGAGCATCTAAACGCAAGATTTGCTTTTATCTATGCTTTGCAATAGAAGGAATTGTTTACATTGACAAGGTAAAGGTAAGTGACCTGAATAAGGATGATGTCACAAGGGGAGGGGAAGGGCAAATGCCATATTTGCAAAGATTGCAACAGAGGTAGAACTTTGCTGAGTGAAATTTTTAACTAAATGGCAAGCTATTTTCTTGGCAGCATTACAGTGTATAAAAGCTTCCATATTACAAAGACAGTTTATTGGTCTTGTCAGTCTTATGTTGTCTATTTTTTAAAAATTCATAACAAGTGTTTCAGCTGTATAAATAAATATATTGGTAATCATAAGTGCTTTAAAGTATAAAAGCGTTCTCCATTACAAAATGTTTCTTCAAAATGCACAAATGATGTTTGACTGGGATTGGTTAATTCTAGGGATGAATATTCTTTGATATTTAAAATTGGTCTTCAGCTGCTAGCAAAAGCCAGATTTATATCCCCATTCATACTTGGAACTCATTGGGGAATTTTAAGCCAGTCAGTCTTTGTCTTAGCCCAACCCATGTAGTTTCATATTGTTGTTGCAAGAATATAATTAGGAAAATCCAGGGCAAGCTGTATTTTGCTGTCATTATTAGTCATGAACAATGTTCAGTAATTGCTAATATAGCAGGTGGAAGCACTTGGTTCTACCTTCCATTTAACTGAAAAAAGAAGCTATATTACACAGAAGAGGAAATGTCCCTTACCCAGCCATTTTATTCATGAAGAAACCTATACCTTTGACATCGCCTGCAGCCAAAACTGAGTTTGCAGTTACCCTAAATCAGGGTTTTTCAAACTTGGCAACTTTAGGATGTACGGACTTCAACTCCCAAAATCTCCCAGCCAACCAAAACATTGCTCTAAATAGAGACCCTACAAACAACATGATCCACCAGTTTCAATTCTTTGTAGTTTTGCTAATAAAGTAGGAGGCTGTGCAGTTTGGCTGATTAGAAGTAAAAGGGATTAAATAGACCATTATGTCATATCCTGGTAAGACTGTGGTTCCTGGTTTTCCTGTGTATGGCTCAGGTGGCAATCCAAAATATATTTCTTGAGATGTAGCCCCAACTGTATGGATTTTTAAGTGGGAATGTATGGACATTAAATTCTGGTAGTAACTGGAAAGAAGTTTTGACATTTATCTTTCATTAACCCTATGTACACTTTCAGAGGAGTATGAACTATATTCTTAAATGCACTAAAATAGAATAACAGGCACTCTTATGGCATTCTGCTTACACAATGTTTTTCTTTAACAGTATTGTTATAATTTGCTAAATGGATAAATTAGGAAAATTGGTGTTTTGATGTTCTGAGTTTTTTTATACAAACATGGCTTCTCTTTTAGAGAAAAAAGAAATTTTACAGTATTATGATAAATGTGCAAATCACATTTTTGAAGCAGTGCGATATCTAATGTTTGTATGTTTTCCTTCTCCACAGACTGATGGCTGACCGAGTGCTTGTGATTGGCAGTGGAGGCAGAGAACATGCACTGGCTTGGAAACTGGCACAATCTCCACACCTGAAACAAGTACTGGTTGCTCCAGGAAATGCTGGTACAGCCAATGATGGGAAAATTTCTAATTCAGGTATAGAAAACTGAAATAAGATATCTATAGTACTTAAGGATCTGTCTTTCAGTCTTTTGTGTTGATAAATTTATGGCTTTCCTGCATGCATTGTTCTTTTGTAGATTTGCTAGAAGAATGAATGAATGAATTAGATAGATAGATAGATAGATAGATAGATAGATAGATAGATAGATAGATAGATAGATAGATAGATAGATAGATAGATAGATGAGCACAGGTTTTTCTTATCCAGAAACCTGAATTCTTTTTTTAAATCTTCCACCGGTCTTCCAAAATCCTCACTATATTATTTGTTTTTGTGTATTCACTAGCATTTATAATGATTAATTGGATTAAACTAGCATTAATAATGATTAGCTTGGATTCAAAGTTCCTCCTTAACTCTGCATGTTGAGGGCAATTGCAAAATATGTGCAGAAAACTCAAAAGTTGTTTAAAAGGGAAATAATTATATATGCATTTTCCCACTCCCATATGTACACTTGTATCTGTAATGAAAGAAGTATCCAGTAAGCTATCTCAGATTTTCTCCTGGGCCCAATACTTTCCACCGTTTTTATAAATTATTGGGACACAGGACTAGATAGAGAATTGAGAAAATACAATTAACATTCAAAAGGATCTTGACAAATGTGAACATGAGCCAACAAAACACAATTTAGTGGCAAGAAATGTAGGGTTCTACGTTTAGGAAAGAAAAAATAGATGGACAGGAACAAGATAGATAATACCTACCTCAGCAGTGATACATGTGAGAGGGATTTGGTTATCCTGGTAGATCATAGATTAGACATGAACCAGCAATGTGTTGCAGCTACTAAAATAGCCAAAGAAGACTTAAGCTGTATCAGCAGAAATACAGTGTTGTGATCATGGGAAATTATGGCTGTACTCTATACTACATTTATCAGACTACACCTGGAATACTGTGTTCAACTTTGGTTGCCACAATATAAGAAGACTGTTGAGGAACTGGGAAGACTTCAGCAAATCTGGAGACTAAATCCCACGAAGATAAGTTTAAAGAACTGGCTATTGTTTAGCCTAAAGAAGGGAAGCCTTAAGGAAGACTTAAAAAGCTTTTATAGGCAAGAGGGTGTGATACCTGAGTATAAAATAAGAAGCATTTCAAAGATCTACATCTGAAATAAAGTGTAATTTTCTGCCTGTGAAAGATTTTAAGCAGTTGAGCAGTCTTTCTTCTGGAGTCATCAATGGTCTTTCACTGGAAATTATTTTTTAAGTTGGAAACAATCCTTTCAAACAAAAATTGGATAGACGTTTGTGTGGGACTGAGGATTCATGTCCAAGGTTGCTTTCAGTCCTACAATTCTATAAATGTTAGCAGCATATGAATATATCAGAATATTACATAGACTTACATGTATTTCCTAGTTGGTGGTGTACACTATGTTACTTATGAAGTAGCTTCTAAATTAGAGAACTTAGTTTACATAGCATAATATGATCATATGTGGAACAAAGTTGGGCTTTTGATCTACTTTGATCTATTTATGGCATATTGACCAAATGAAATTGACTAATTCTTACCATCAGCAGGGCAAGATGCATGTAGTACAGATGTGACTAAGGCTGAGAATCTATTTTATATCTTCTCAATATACCAAAAGCATGATGGAAGAGCATGATTAAGAGAAGGGAAGGCTAGTGAAGCTAAGAGAAAGAGAAAAGATGAAATAGACCTGATTGAAGGTGGTTAGATCTAATGGAATAGAATTAATGAATACATGTATAAGAGCAAAAATATGGACTTCATTAAGAATAAAATGACTAATATGTACATTATAAAATATGAATTATCCTCATTTAGATTGTGGGTCTCAAACATGCAGCTTGTGAGCCTTATGCAGCTCTCCACTTCATCTTCTGTAGTCTGCAACAATTGAAATAGCTTCCCAATAAAGCCAGTGTTCTTCTTAGATACTCAGGCTCAACATGGGACATGCTTCAGAAAAAAGAGCAACCTTGTGATAGTGACTTTGCATCTGCAGCTCAGTCTGATTCAGAGAGACGTACAAGACCTTCTTGTTGGCTGCATGATTAATGTACCTAAGTCCTCTTGTACTCCTTGGTGGGTAACCTCTTTTGCTTGGCCATAAAAGATGATCCAGGAGGGACTTGCCTGAGGGAGTGAAGGAGGAGAGGAGAGGGAAAGTGAATGAGAAAAAGGCTGAAGGGAGAAAGACAGTTTGGGACAATTTTCATCTAATATCCATATTTCCCTTTTAGATAATGATATTGAAAAAATAGTTGGACTTCAACCAGATAATTTTGGAGGAAATAGATTGGGTTACAGTATTGCGGGGGGGGGGGGGGAGAGAGAGAGAGAGAGAGAGAGAGAGAGGTGGGGGGGGGGAGCAGCACTGGTTGCTCTTGTTGATGGCCTGTTGCAAATGACCTTTCTTGAAGATAGGGGGTTGGGGGTGTGCAGACCCTGGGAGGGGAAAGGAATACTGTTATAGACTTCTAAATAAACTTACTCACATATACATAAGACAAAATATGAATCAAAATAAATGATTAGGGAAGTGCAGTTATTTGGATCCAAAGTAGGAAAGGTTCTTAAAGTCAATAGCTATTAACTATAGTTAAACATTCCTATGCATTTGATTGATTGGATGGTTTATGATGAAAGATAGAGATTATGAAGGAGACAGTGATGAAATGTTGAATGGTTTGGTAATCAGGAATGGATTTTAGGTGGGGGGGGGATGGATTTGGAAATAATTAGAAAGGCTTTTAAAGCATGTTTAAAAAGTATAGTGTGTTAATTCTTCTGTATGTGTATACTGAGCCTTTCTCCTATCTTGAAATTAGAGAGATATCAATTTTTTTTAGCCTTCCTTTGAAATGAAAAAAATGATGTTTTGATATTTTTGCTTCATACTGAATTACAAGAACTGCAGTTAGGTTAATCAGTGTTTTGACCTTTCTGGACTTAGAATCTACGCAGATTCTCAGATTATAATGAACAATTTGGAGTTTGCTTCCTGCTGTGTGTCTTTGACTGACCTTCTGTTTTTTTCTGTTTAAAACATTGAATTTCATAAATGTGTTAATATAAATGGATGAAACATTATTGGTGTTGCACATTTAAGTCCAATCTAGTTGATTACTGTATACAGTTCATATGTACCTGGATCCGTATTCCAAAACTCTGGTTGCTAGGAAAGGAAGGTGAAAAAAATTATTTTTCTCTAAAAATATTAGATTCAGAAACAATGAGATGCAAAATACTTAATTCTAAGAGAGTAATAGTGATAAATAGCTGTGCTTGACTCTTTTATTGAATGCACCATAGTCATTCTATTGGCCACTGAGACAAATACATTTCTAATCTAGAAGTGAGCTTTCTTATTTTATTAATAGGAAAGCTCACTTTCTTAACATATTTCAAATATAGTGAAAGTTTCTTAGCATTCATTAGCAGCTGGGCTAAGCCCATATTCTGCATCCATAATATGTTACATTATGAGTACTTATTTATTTTTAATGAGATACTCTATGATTTAATTACTCAGTATTCTTTCAGGGTGCATAATCAGGAGCTCTTCCGTTAACAAGCGTTCCAGCTAAATAGATAGCTTCAACAGTGGCAATACTTTTTTAGAGGTTTTGGAAAACCAGGACAATTATTAGCTAGTTCCGTATCCTCTTACATCTATTTCCTAGATTAGGAAGAATTTTTCAGTCCATTACATTTGCTGGTATGTACCAAAGCATTCATCCTAGCAAGCCAGCAAATAGAATTTCTGCTTGCTGTTTCTATTTATGAAAAATCCAGACATCAAATCACTTTTGCCTATTGTTTTATCTGCAATTCAATATGTGTAATAAAGCAGTCCTGTTTCTTTTCAGATTTGTACTGCCCGATTTGTAAATATGTATTTGTTTCATTTTTATGAGGCAAATAGGATGTCCCATGGCATTCTTGTGATGGTCATATGATAAGTTAAAATGTACAGTGTTGAACAAAAATATTTTTTCTTCATGTTCACTGAATTAAATTTGATTCATTTTCAATAATTTTGCTTTCGTGATAAGATCAAATTATAGTCATAGTCACATATTCTTTTTTTTTTTTGGAGATATCGTTATTGGAACATGAAGAAAGAAGCATAAATGTCATGTGTAGCTGCTTAAAATATTAGGAAGGAGGAAGGAAAATTCAGCTTAGCTTTCAAGCACATGTTCTGTCTATATACCCCTTGATTTGAATAAATGACTTGGAAGAATTTTAGTCAGAAATTACCACATGTCTTGTAAACACACCAGATAGCAATTCACTGATTTCTGAGCCAGACTTTTTTTTTGGTGTAAGAGATGCCCCTTATTTCAAGAGAAACTAGCTGTTCTTGGGTATTTGTTATATAGTAGTGTTTTTAAGATGGATTTGAAAAGAGGGGGAAGAGCAGTCCAGAAGCCACATGCCTCTCAGAGCTATTTCCATCTATGTTATATTGAAAAGATCCTAGAAATTAGGGTTGTTCTTTTAAAACAAACATATATTTTTTTTGCATAGCAGGATTTTTGTTCCGAAAGGCAGGTACAGTTACTTGTAATAAAGAAGTAGGTCATAAACCTAAGCAGGAGCAGAGAAAATCAGATTCACTTGATAAATTACATATTAAAAACCATAGTTTAAATATCTGAAGTTTAAGTTTAAAAGGACATTGTGGCATTCTGGGAGTGTTCCGGTTCAACATCAAACCTGGTAAACCTGAGCTGAGTTCTGGTGATGAGTAACTTTTAATCTTGGTTTATGATAAAATATATTTGAAACTGGAGGGTTGGTGTTGCAATACCAAACTGCTTTTTATGTTACAGCTGAACAATCTTATTGCATAAACAGTTTATATGTGTTTGTTTTTGCTTTTATAAACATTGAGCCCCTTAGAAGAGGAGTCTTGATATTTTTTATGCATACATCTGTTTATTTTATGTAGTAAAATATATGCTTTTCATGTAGTATCCAACAAAGGAAATACATATTTCACTTGTTTCTGTTCCGGTTTCCAATGTCATGGTCAAATAAATATGTCAACATATATACAACTGTTCTTTTCAGATGTCATTTCAGAAGTTTGAAAAATAAGATCCATACATCAGTCATACATTCTGTCACTGGAATGTAACGTTTAGCAAGGTTTCCAGAGATACAGGCACTTTTCAGTTTCAAGAGCTCTGTAGTACAAGGATCTTTTCCACACATAGCATAAATAAGACAATTTGTTTTCTAATGTATCCTTAAAGAGGATACATATTTGCATCCACAAGTAACAGTTCATTAATATGCAATTTTCAAAGTGTGTATTTTTGCTATTGCTCTTTCTTTTATTCTGGAGCAGGCGAGATAGAAAATTAGTTAAGAAGAAATAATTTAATAAATTTGGACTATAGAGACTTTCTATTGCCCTCTATATTTTTCCATTAGTCCATTAAAAAGATTTATTCCCATGTTTTTAAAAATGGTGAAATTGTAAGAGACAAAACAATTTCTTGGTCTTTCAGTTTGATTATTTAAAATAGAATGCAAGTGTCTTACAGATATTTGGCCAGCACTACCAAATTGAAGCAAATTTTTTGTCATAATGTAAATCCTAAAGCCTGCCCTAAAAGCAGTGTGTTTTCAAGGCTTTTCTGATATGAGAATTAACTTAGGTGAGCCATTAATTAGTTAATTGGAGCCTTTCTGATATGAGAATCAAGTCCTTTCAAGAGTAACATCCCAGTGTGATGTTAAATTTGCCTGATTAATGAAACAGTTTGCATACGTTTGCCAAAATTCTTACCACAGTAATACATTACATCTCACAGCTCCCCAGAAATAAAGGAGAGGTAAGAGATGGTCTTGCCTAATTGGCTCACCTTTGCCAGTTCAATTTAGACTTTGGAGTTATTTATTTTTGATAAAAGTATGGGAGTAATGATGTCTTTTTTATCGCGTGCTTGGCTTTCTATCCTTTCCAAGCAAACATTACGTGTAGAATGAACTTTTCTACATGAGGGTTTTGCTACAACATTAGTCTCCTAGACCATGCTCTAGAAGCATTTGGTTTGAAGTACAATATGTGACATGACTTCAAAAATTTGCCTTTACAAACTGCACATCATTACATGAATTAGTCAAAGATCTGAAGCGTCATAATTTTATTACTGTAGAATACCCTTTTCTTGGAATATGGCATAATAAAAATATTCTGCAATTTACCAGGAAGGGAGAGGCTAAATTGTTGCATCAGTTCTTAAACTAGTTGGAAACTGAACAATTAGCATACAATTACTAAAATGTAAACAATGTCAGATGCAGCTTGGTGTAGTGGTTAAGGTGGGCACCAGCTGGGTAACTTTAAACCAGTTACTCTCTCTCAGCCCAACTCACCTCACAGAGTTATTGTTGTGGGGAAAATAGTAGCAGAAAAGTGTGTTAGATATGTTTGGAATTTGGAGGAAAATATTGAATATTCCAATAAGAATTTCTCAGCTTCTTGTATAGTGAGTAAGATGGTGTTACTTTGCATGCTTTTAAATGTTTCTTCCCAGTTTTCTTCCCATCTGCCCTGTTCATAAAATAAGCTGTGAACTGATTCAACTGCTTATCTTTTACCTTCCTTCCACAGTGCCCCAATAGTCTCTCATATTATGCCTATAATTGTTCTTAAGAAACAATTGTGTTTCTAAATTCTTTGGTTTCCTCATAAAAAATGGAAGAGAACCATATTATAAATAATAAATAATTGCAAGTTTTTTGTTTATCTTCTGATAGTAATCTCAATCAGTGATCATGCAGCCCTTTCAACATACTGCAAAAATCAGAAGATTGGCCTTGTGGTGGTTGGTCCAGAAGTCCCCCTTGCTGCTGGTATGTCCAAATGAAATTATTTTGTTTTGCAGTTCCAGTCTCCTGACCTATTAACTTGTTGGTGTTACATAATTGTACAAAATATTCTGGACATCTAATATCTAATTATTATATTATATGCTAATAGGTTGGAAACATGATCAGTATTTAATCTGCATACACTACAGAATATTTTTCAGTCAGAATATAATAACAAATGTAACAGAACATTATTATTTATTATTTAATGGGGTACCTTAGCCTGCTGCCATGATTGAATCACAATTCAGAAATATTTGGTGAGTCAGTTCTTGTTTACGATGTAGCATTTTCTCTTTAAGCAACTCATAGCTTGACTCAGAACACTGTCAAAATTTTTTATAAAGCAATAGATGTCCATAATATTGATAAATCTCATCCCAGTTTGTAGGGTAAGCTTTAGCCATAAAAGATTTAAATAGTAGAATTTATAGAGTTATAGTTCCCTCTTGAGACACTGGGCATCCATCTGTGTCTTTTAAAATGTACTCCATTTCATTCCTTCTCTTTTCTGGTTTTCTGATCCCCCATTCCAGCATTCTGGCTAGAGTTTTGTGGTTGCTAGGCATGCTCAAGTTTTCATTGAATGTTTATAGTAGTATTTTGCAACATGTTGAGTTTGCTGATTGTTTGTCTATTTTGAGTATGGATTATGCCATTTGGGCTACATAAAAACCTGCATTTGGAATGCATGTAGGCAGTTGTACTTCAGTGTGCTGATATGAAAGTCTGTCTGACTTTGAGGCATGTTTTTTGTTAGGAATTGTTGATGACTTGGCAGCTGCTGGTGTGAGATGCTTTGGCCCTACAGCAAAGGCAGCTCAGCTAGAGTCAAGTAAGAGTTTTTCAAAGGCCTTCCTAGATCGTCATGGCATCCCTACTGCAAGATGGAAAGCTTTCACTAATGAGAAAGAAGCTTGCACTTTTATTACTAGGTATAGTAGAACATCTTTTATTCCACTGTCCCAAGATTTGATAAAGTGTTAGAGCTTGCAGTTTATAATACCTCTCTCTCACTTACTTAATTTTTTTTATTTCATCCCTCCTCCTCCACCCCCCAGTGCATCTTTCCCTGCTCTAGTTGTAAAAGCAAGTGGTCTGGCTGCTGGAAAAGGAGTGATTGTAGCTGCTAATAAAGAAGAGGCCTGCCAAGCTGTGCATGAAATAATGCGAGTGAGTAACAAACAGTCAAGCTTGAACAATGTGCAAATAACCCATTTCATTGTCCTACATTTAAAGTAACTATGACCAGAAATATTTTTTCTGTAATAAAAATAAATTGTCTTCTGATTGATTTGGAATATTTCATTCCTCAAGTTACCCAGGAATTGTGGGCAGGATTTTTAGTCTGAGAAACAGATCAAATGGTGTACATTTTATTATGTTTAGATGTTGCTAATTGGCTTAAAATGCACCATTCAGTTTGTGTCAAATAATAACTTACATCTAAAAGTAACAACACTATAAACATTTGATGTTAAATATTTATACAATATTTTAAAATCTTTGGCAGTGACAATAAGGACATTATTTGTAAGGTGAAAGTACACATTTTTATAATTGCTTGCATCTGCAGATTTAATTTGGACTGCCAAGAACATATAAGTATTATCCTAAAAAGAAAAAGAAGAAATGCTTTAGCTTGGAAAAAAAAGTTATACATTGTTGCTCTGTCAAAATATAGCATCTGAGTGTTTACTATATTTCTTTTAAAATTTTACACTCCATTTTTATAAAGATTTTTTTAAAATTTTTGAATAAACACAAACAGACAAAACACACACACAAAAACCACAAAACCATCTTCCATAACAAATTGTAGAAAGCGGGTTGATTGGTTACAAAAACTTCCATGCATCCCTTCCACAATCTTCACCTACAATTCATATCAAATCATATATTTTAAATCAAGTATATTTATATATATTACTATCATCATACCTCAACCTTCATTTGACTATAATTGTTTTACGTCCTTTTATATAAAATATTTAATATTTATTTTATATAAAAGATATATATAAAAGATTTAAAGCAAAACCACATAATGACATTCCATTAGCTCTTCCCAATATCATCCAGTAATATTACATCTTTATAACATGTTCTATTAAAAAAATGGTTATATTTAATAACAGAGTTTCTAAACCTCCTTTCCTTGTCACTATTTGCAATTTATATCAAATTTCCTCATATATATATGATAATAATATATATATGCATTATTATCATTATCAATCAATTATTTAACTGTATCCATTATCACTTCATTTTATACATAATGCTCTAAATTTAACTAAATTTGACTTAATTTTTTATTATAAGCTTTCATTACATCAACCTGTGTCTTTCCAGTAATAGTGCAATCTTATGTCTCTTGCCATTTGTGGCATTAGTATTCTGGTTATTTCCTTAGTAAGTTTTGAATGGACTTCTCTTCGCAACTTATTGCTTATTTCATATCTTGTATAAGCTCGAAACCCTCCATCTGCTTCTTCGATCAGCTTATCTTTGGTTATCACTAGTGCTTCTGACAAAATTTCTCTCCTTAGTTCCATCAATTCTTCTCTCTTTTCTTCTTCTGTACTTTGAGATCTGGGGTAAACCTCCAGTCCATCGATCTCCCCTTTCCATATTCCACTCTTTCCATTTCCAACCACACCCAGTTCACTGTCAGTATCAACAATTTTCTTGTCTCTTTGTTTATTTTTCCCTTCAGTTTTTAGAACTCTCACCTTCACTTTCTTCATTTGATGAACATCCTCAATTTTTCCATCTTCTCAATTTTCTCTGTTACTTCTAATAATTTATGAATTTCAAACATAATCTTTTGCAATGTTAAGGGTTTTTTTTTCATGTTGAGCCATTTTCCAACTTGTAAACACTGCCACTCTGGCATTCAAAACTTTTTATTAAATTTAAAGCAAGTTCATTTATAATCTTTCAAGACAAGGCTTTGTTTTCACTCCACTCCAGCTGCCAATGAAGCTCCCGAAAAGCATTTGTATAAACAACCCATGCTCTTCTCACTATCACTCTCTGTAAACAAGCTGAGGAACCTTGAAATGCAAAGTCAAATGATCAAAGAGAAAAAAGAATAGACAATATTTCCAAGCCTCCAGCCTCCAAGTGGCAGTGTTACTTCCTTTCCCTCTGTTATTGCAGCCCTCTTTGTATTCTTTTATATCTTCTTTATATTCCAGGCTTAAAGAAAACAAAATTGTTAAATGGAGCAAAACACAACAACATCCAATCCAGCATTATAAAAATAAGGAAAAAGATTTTAATTCATAGGTATTAAAAAAAGAATATAAAAAGTAGTAGAAGAAAAACTAATCCGTTCAATTCAAAGAATAGGAAACATTTGCAAAAGTTCCATCCGTAAAAGAAAATTTTAAAAAAGGATAACACACTGTCTAATGTAGCTTAATTTCTCCACTTGTTCTCTTCTGTTTTCAAATTTGATTTAGCTTTAATTTTGGGGGGGGGGTAGTCTATTTTATAATAATATTTCCTCACCAGATGGACACACTTTCTCTTTCCATTTTCCTCCCGTTCCTGAGCTGTCCCAACTTCAACAGCTTCAATGGCTGCGCTTCTGTTGCCGGCAAAAAGAGATTCTCCTGGATCAATCAGGGACTTTGCGGTGTCCCTGAGATCAGCAGGACATACTCTTCCCTGTCACCGTCTCTTTGGGATGGATTAGGTCCCAAAGGACCGTCCAGCGGCAAAAGTATCGACTGCGATTTTGGAGCTCCAAGATCACACGTCGTGTCGTTGCGGCGTCAGCTCCTCCTCTCTACACCACTGCATTTTAAGGACCACTAACTAGTTTTTTCATTGATAATTTTTCATAATATTGCAATCAAATCAGGGTAAAGGCAGCAGTCATATGCTGTTCATGAGACTAAATTCTACTGAATACCCTGTGGCATTCTTCTGAGTAAATATAGTTAAGATAATCTTTTAATAGCCTTCGCAGTTTGGTGCCCTTTTAGATATGCAGACTTCAAATTCCAGAATTATCCAGCCAACCTACCCATTGCTAAGTTTTCTAGGAACTGGTCCATGTATCTTCAAACACTATTTTTGAAGAAGACTCCCTTACTATTAAGTTGTTACATATTTTACTTGACATTAAGCCCTCAATGAAAACGTTAAGTATTTTTTCTAATATGCATGCTGAAATGAGCAATAGAGATGTAATTTAAGACAGCTTTCTTGGCCTACTCTCTCCAGATGAGTTGATTACAACATCCATCAGCCCAGATAGCATAGGCAACAAAAAAAGCTAGGTGGAGATCATAATAACAAATCCAGAGAGATAAAGAGAGGGAGATTTGAAGAAGATATGTTATTGTGCGATTCATATGGGGATACAAAGTTTGAAAAGCTACTTAAAAGGTTTTCTGTGGTTTATTTCTGAAAAATTCCAAACAGTTGTTTTTATCTGAGGGAGTTATAACTTGGAATTTGAAATTAATGAAAAATTATGGTATTTTGCAGATGACTAAACCAAGGTCAGTATTTTATTTAAAGGAAAAAGCAAAGAATTAAAGAAAAAAATATTATCACTGCTTGGAATTCCAAAAAAATTACTTGGTTTTCTATATACAGATTTACAGTTTGCATAAAATATGCATTATCTTTAATACAGGATAAAACTTTTGGAGCAGCTGGAGAAACTATTGTGGTTGAAGAACTTCTTGAAGGAGAAGAAGTTTCTGTAAGTAACATAATAGAGGAGTCTGTCCGTTCTATAATTTTATCATTCATGCACAGCGCAACTATCCCTTCTAAAATTTGTAATGTAAAAGTTTTCAGAATCCAGTCAAGATGATTATTTTTATGCTTCTTTGATTTCAGTGGAAGAGTTCACCAAAAACCACTGCTTAACTTTTCCTTGCTGAAAACAATTGAAATTATATGTATTTAACTCTGTTATTCCCACTTTGAACATTATGCAAAAGTTTTGATTAAAAATGTAGAAAACCAACCTCTTCCTGTAGGAATCACTGAAACAAAACAGGTGATCAGATATTGCCTTTTTATCAATTAATCTTTACATTGACTTTCTCTTGAATGTTTCCTATGCTGATGGTGAAGACTTACCTTATGGAAAGATGGACAGCCAAGAAATAAAATAATAACATAAAATAAATTCCTAAATAAAATCAGTTTGGGTTTTCAGGAAATCCAGTCCAGTCTTTATTTTGGTCATTCACAGTCAGTCAATTTGAAAAGAACAGTCAGAACCAGAATATTGGGCTTAAGAGTTCATACAATATAAAAATGAATATAAAATACATTGATATGGTTTTGATATTTTATAAAATGAATGAAAATAAAATGGACTATGATTTTCAGTATTTATGCACAATTAGTGCTTACTTAGCCTTTCTCTGCAAGTACCATCTGTTTAGACATCCTATTTAAATCTTGTTAAAGTATGTGGGTTTTGGACATTATTATTTGTCAATAATAATTCCTTAGGTAAAGTATTTGAAATTATCTCAGAGTCTAATGAAATTTTTACAAAATGTTTATTATTTATGTATATTGACTTCTATTCAGAAATGCCAGTGAAAATAAATTAAGAGTATATAAATATACTCTATACAACTTATCTCTTGTTATAAGCAAGATATTACTTATAATTAAGAGCTGAATAATACTCAGCTGTGTAAGTTTAATATCATGGTTATTCCCATTGCATTGTTCTTATGATCTACTTATTATTTGTTTTCGTTTTTTTACAGTGCTTGTGCTTCACAGATGGTATCACTGTGGCTCCTATGCCTCCTGCCCAGGATCACAAACGGTTAATGGATGGTGATCAAGGACCAAACACTGGTGGAATGGGTGCATACTGCCCAGCACCTCAGGTAACGTGCCTACTATGTCAGATTTCCTTAGCAAGCTCAAGACAAGCCTGTAATGGGTATTAGAATTCTGTATACTATTCTTTGTTCTTCTTTTAGATTTTAAGAAAAATGAGTAATGCAAATAATTGTCACCATTTTTCTTCATATCACTTCTTAATGGGATAATGGCATGCTACTGTACAATGTTTATGTGGTATTAGGTTTTCTCTTATGTGATATTAAGTGTCCATATGATGATATGATATATGATGTAACGATAACATGACTACTCTAACAAATACTGTATAATAATTGGAATGAGACATGCCTTTGGGATTAAAAACAAGACAGAAGGATGACAAGAGGCACAAGAAAAACTAAGGCCACAAAAAATCACTAGGTTTTATCCAGCAGAAATAGCATTCATGGTTAATACATAAGTAAAATGCGCTATAAATATTCTTCCAAAATAATGATGTACTTTAAATTTATTATAGATGGGAAATAATAACATAATATAATAAGAGATTGTCTTTTCAAAATATTAATACATTCTGCTAAATGATATTTTATGTATGAGTTTTTCATTCCCATGATTTGTTGCTGATAATTTTAAGTTGTTTCTCTGGCTGCAACCTATAATCTTTTTTTAACAAAGTTTAATAACATACAGATAGTCCTTGACTTACAACAATTTGTTTAGTAACCGTTTGATCACCTTTTTAAAGCTTCTGACAAGAAAAGTCAATGGAAGAAGCCAGATTCACTTAACAACCATATTACTAACTTAACAACCACAGTTATTCACTTAACAAGTGTGGCACAAAAGTTCATAAAATGGGTCAAAATTCATTTAACAAATATTTAACTTAACAATAAAAATTTTGCTCAATTGTGGACAAAAGTCGAGGAATAAGAGAAGTAGCTCACGGAAAAGGGCAAAAGAATCAAATTATTACCTTTCCACCAAAGTGGTACCTATTTATCTACTTGCATTTACATGCTTTCAAACTGCTAGGTTAGGTACTGGGGCAAGTAATAGGAGCTACGTATTTTTCGGAGTATAAGAGACACCTTTTTCCCTCAAAAAAGCAGCTGAAAATCTGGGTGCGTCTTATACACTGAATACAGCATTTTTTGCCTCCTGAAACCCCGCCCCTTCACCAAAATGGCCATGCATAGCCTTTAGGAGGCTTTCAGAGTGCTCCAGGGTGCTAGGGAAGGCAGAAATGAGAAATAAAAATGAAAAAGAAATGGAAAACAGGCTGTTTTTGCTTTATTTCTCCCTCCCCGGCTTCAAGAGGATTCCATAAACCTCCGAAAGGCTATGCATGCCCCGTTTTTTTGACAAAAAATGGACCATTTTTTGCTCATTTTGGGGCCTCCCCCCCCCAAGCACTCTACAAGCTGCCTAAAGACTATTCATGTCCTTTAAAAGGGGGGGGGTGTTTTTGCGAAAAACAGGCCATTTTTGGGAGATCTGCAGATTGCAAAACCTTTTTTTTTTAATTTGCCTCTTCAAAATCTTGGTGCATCTTATACTCCAGTGGGTCTTATACTCCGAAAAATACTGTACTTAGATCTCGATCTGTCGATCTCCCAGTTGACAAGCCCCTTCATCATAAGTGTTTGGCCACTGCACCCCTTATTAAGATAATATGCGTTCAGTTAAAGCATTGTTCCATATGATGAGCTTTGTAGATTATGTTCACCAGCAGTAGTGCTCCAAGGCATTGGGAGAGGCCTATTTCTGATCCTGAGACCTTTTATAACTGAAGCTATAAAATCTAAAATCTAAAGCTTGGATTGCTACCTACACACTGGTCAACTATTCTCTACTAGTGAGCTAGTTCTCATATTAACGGTCTATGATTGCTTACCTCCCACAATAATGTTGATCTGAAGTTCTCAAAATTTATACAATATTTTTGAAAAATAGATTAAATTTTTCTTACAAATTTCACTTTCTGTAATACTTTTAGCTGTCTCAAGATCTGCTTTTGCAAATCAGAAATTCTATTCTCCAGAAAACTATTGATGGTATGAGAAAAGAAGGTACTCCATACATGGGTAAGTGGGAGACTTGTTCCTAGCTGATTGCTTATAATATAAACACATTTTACATTAGTTGCGATACAAATTTCAGAACGGAAAATGCTTACCTGTAAGCTTCTAATAATTACCATACAAAAAGATACAAGAATGCAGAAGAAGCAGGAATTCAGGCAGGAATTATCTAAGCTTTAGAGGGGAACCAGGCTTTATTTATGTATTTATTTATTTTATATTATTTGTATGCTGCCCATCTCCTCAGTACGGCAACTCTGGGCAGCCTACAGAATATTAAAAGATATATAGAAAAGAAATTAAAAAATTAAAACTATGCAAAAAACCAGAACCAAAGTGAAAGACAGCACAGGGTGAGGTCTTCTTACTCTGTCTGCCAACTCCAGTAGTAAACTCCAAGCCAACCAGCGAACCCAAATTTTAATACCATTCTGGAAGGCCAAAAGGGCAGAGCAGTTCTCATCTCTGGTGGTAGAGTGTTCCACAGGCTCGGGATTACAGTGGAAAAAGGTCTTCTCCTTCCAAAGATGTATCTTTTGTGTAGGTTGTACATGTTATTATTGTTCAGTAACAATATTCAACAGTATTACGAACACAATGGTCTGTGTGATTGTTCCGCGGGTATTTCTAGACAATTGTACCAGATGCATTTGCCTTCAATATTTTTTGTTTTTCAATAAGGTGTGCTTTATGCGGGGTTAATGCTAACCAAAGATGGACCTAAAGTTTTGGAATTCAACTGTAGATTTGGTGACCCTGAATGCCAGGTGAGAATAATTAACTGCAATCTTTTATATGTTTATATGTTGATATCATAGTTCAATAAGGTTTAATCAAATATGCTGCATATTGGCTTAGTCAATATAATATTTAACCTCTACTGAACCAATTTTGGATGAATGCATTGGTATAGATTGCATAGTTTTTAACTGAATACTTATTTAGAATATTGATTTCAAAGTTTGTAGGTCTTTAGAGGATTATTTACTAAAACAGCCATCGCTAATACCAAAGAGCTTTTCCTGTGTCTTTTACCAGCATATATCAAATCTCAGTGTTTCTTAATTTGCCCAATTATAAAATTTGCAGTCTTTCCCCCTCATGCTTTGTGATATAAATAGACAACTGGAGAGCCCAGGGGCAAGTCTGGCCCTTGGAGAAATAATCATCAACCAGAAGCCTTTATGAACGATTGGATTATAATCACCATCCTGTGATTATAACAGCAAATAAGACTCCAAGGATTTTGGTTACTAAGCAATGCAGTCACATGACATCATGCTTTATAACTGCATTGCTAAAGTGGCAGAATCTGAACTACTAATGGCCAAAGCAAATGTAGATAAGAATCAAAGGAATTGAATGTGAGCTGGACTTAGATTTCTTGTAGGCATGAAGGGAGTAGTGACTTTTGACCCTTATTTCAGATTCAGTCTGGTCATCTACAATAACCCTTATATGCAATTAATTAATTAATTAATTAATTAATCAATTCACTCTTTCATTCATTCCCTAATTGTATTATTTTTGCAAGTAACTCAAGGCAATGAATATACCCAGTACACCTTCCCCCTCCTATTTTCCCCACAACAACCTTGTGACATGGCTTGGGCTGAGAGAAAGTGACTGGCCCAAAGTCACCCAGTTGGCTTTCCGGATAATGTGAGACTCGAACTCATGGTCTCCTGTTTTCTAGCTGGGTGTTTTAATCACTAGACCAAACTGGATTTAGAGAAATAAATGCCCTGAGTTGCATTGTGAACAAGTGTGAAAATACAAGGGATATTTTCTTCTTTAAAAATAATCTTCTGCTTTATCAAAAAATCTGTTCATTGAATTTAAATTATATGGCATCATATTAGATACACCATTAAAAGTATCAGCTCAAGTGTGTTGATTTCAGATTCTAATAAATAGTATCTTGGTCATGATTTTGAATCTCAGTAAAACTGGCAATATTTCTTTTTACTGGAAAGCAATACCATCATGCTTTGTCTTATTCTTAATAATGTGTTAATAGTAACTTATATCAAATATGACTAATTTCTTACATTTTAATAGAACATTAAAAATTAACTCCTGATGACTGCAACGATACATCCAAGTAGTTTTCATGGCATTGCGTAGTTTTTTCCAACACGCTAGTGTAGCCTATAACCCTAGAATTTCCTGGTGGTGTCCCATCCAAGCATTAATCAATTATCTCCTATCCAAGCACTAATTAGAACTCTCCTTGCTGATTTCTGAGATCAGCCAACATCAAAAGTTGCCACCACCAGAGAAGGGCTTAATGGAATATACTTCTTAATAAATCTGTTCAGAATCTTCATATGGTTCTTCAATAGTCTTGTGAATTCACATATTTTGTAGTTAAAATAGTAACATAACTTGTGTCTACATTTGTATAGGTAATTCTCCCGCTTCTTAAAAGTGATCTTTATGAGGTTATGCAAGCAACTATTGATAAGAAATTGTCCAACTGCATACCCGTTTGGTTTGAAGATCGTGCAGCTGTTACTGTGGTGATGGCTAGTGAAGGCTATCCAGGAAGTTATGCCAAAGGTTTGGAAATAGCAGGTATGAATCAGTCATATAGAATCCCAAGTGCAGCATTTTCAGTGTTCCCATTCCACCGGAGGCCATGTGAATTTCTTGGTACAACACTGCCTCAAAAAACAAGAGTACTAGCTTTAACTAGTTTGTTTTTAAGATGTGTTTAGCTTCTGTATTAGAGTACAAGGAAAAAGAATAATGTTCTTTTCTATCAGAGAAGACCTTTGATGCAGAATCTCAGAGAGATATGGCTTCCCTCAGTAAGCTGGCATTCTGAAATGGACAATTTTTTATAAATGCACCTTTCACATTCAAAAATATCTAAATAAAAAAAGTGTGCAAGTAGCTCAGGGTTTTTTATTTCAGATTTGGACAATTACACACAATAATTAAATATGGAAGGTATAATCAAGTTGCTTACCATGTGCATATATTATTTGTAGTGCTTTAGAGGTTGAAGATATATATTATTTGAGTGGCAGCTATATATAAAATAAAGATATCTTACTTTAAGATATCTTTAATCACACATTAGACAAACAGCCAATTGGATGCATAAATTAGAAAAATATATTTAATACGTTGCCAGAATCCAAATATAGCATATAATTTGACATTTTATCTGAATAAAACAGTACTAGTGAGATTGTTGCATATATGGATCTTATTAAGGTAAATAATACATGATCAGAAATATGAATTCCATTTTCTTCTAATTTTGCCTTGTGTTTTGATATGGCCTAATGGTTAACTATTATTATGGATGGTTGCACAGTCAAGTATTTAGATTGGATTTGGCATTTTTGTCTACCAAGTGGGTCATTATTATTATGGTACTACTACTATTTCTATTATTACTGCTGCTGCTGCTACTATTACTACTACAACAAGAGAAGACGAAATTGGTTATATCAGAAGTGGAAATGTATCACTTCCAGATGTTCTGGTTCACCACAAACCTCACAAAACATATTTGGTGGTCAAGGTTTCCAGGCTTTGAGAGATCAGTACTATGATATTGATCAGGTTTTCCAAATAATTTTATCCTGTATCCTAACCAGGCTTCCCCAATGCAATGTTCAAAAGTTCTTTTGCTCTGCAGTATTTGTAGTTTATGTGGGATTTTAATTTAGAGGGGTCAGTCGAATGGACTTCTGTCAGGAGTCAATTGGTTGCCTCTATTTTGATTGATCCTATCTCATCTGTTTCTTTTGGCGACCTTGTGTGCCATCTGATTGGATAATCAAACATATCAAGCTCCATTGATCTGTTGACATCCCATTAATTGAATGGGAATTCTAGGAATTCTCTGACTTTCCTGCTTTACGCGTTCATATATTATGATGTAAATTAAATACATAAATAAATTTTATGAAAACTGGTGAGAAAAACCTGGAAGTAGCTTGTCCATTATGTCATTTATGCTATTGTGTTGTTACTTGTGGTCTTTACCAATCAACAGTAGCAGTAACAGAAGTCATCATAGTATTAGCAATAGTAATAATAATAGTAATTAATATAGATACAATAGATACATTGCAAAAGTTTTTTAGTATCCAAATTTTATTTAGTTCTAACATATTGTTTCCTTACAGGATTTTCTCAAGCTAAAGAACAAGGTTTGGAGGTATTCCATGCTGGCACAACCTTAAAAGATGGCACAGTGGTTACCAGTGGTGGAAGAGTCCTCACTGTGACAGCTATCAAGAAAGATCTTATATCTGCTCTGGAACATGCCAACAAAGGAGTTGGAATCATTCGTTTCAAAGGGGCCATTTATAGAAAGGATATTGGTTATCGAGCTATTGCTTTTCTTAAACAATCCAGGTATCTATTTGAAGGCAAAACTAAAAATGTATAGTTAAATGTAAGCAAGCAGAAGGCATGTAAGTCATTATAAATTGCTGCTTGATTTAATTTTTATACAGTGAACTCTCTTTAATCTTTAATAGATCTCAATTAAGAAATTGGATCCATCTGAATGTGACATATACCCCCTTACCTGAACAATTTTAGAGCCAGTTTGGTATCATGATCAATGTGCTGTCTCCTAGAAGCCCTCTGGGACTACATAGTTTAGCTCCACATCCTGCCTTGGTGTATACCTTGACAGTTACTACTGCCACAGAGGGGTGCCTTTTCTTAATGTCTTCTCCCTAACTCTGGATCCCCAGTTCAATTACTGTATATGATCATATGATCCTCCTACTTGTTCCCTTCTATGAAGAAATAGACCAATCTCACAAGAAATATATAGACTCAATTAAGAAATATATAGACTCAATTAAGATTGAGTCTTAATTTTTTTGCACAATTATATTAACAAAATTAGTATTTAATCCAGGAATTTGCTTGAATTTATCTGGGCTGTAACAAAGTCTTTCTTTTTAAGAGAAAAATCCACCAAACATTAAAATTAGCATCAAAGTAGTATCAAACATTTGATAACAAAATCTTTTGTATTGTATTAATAGTCTCCTGATAAAGCTTTCTTCGCTTGAAAGTATATGGCAATATCAGTAAACTGCAAGACTAATCTTCTGTAATGCAATAAAGTTACTAATTGTGTCATCATATCTAGTTTTATTATTCTTAGTATTGAATAATTATTTGAAAAGTGATATAAATCCATTTTGCTTTATTCAATGAAATGAATTTTATTTTGAAACTACCTTCCTTTTTATTCTGAAATACGTGTATTTGAACAGCTATAAGAGGACACTTACTATAAAAAGCTATAGTACTCATGGCAGCAAAACTGGAAAAAAAGTTTTAAAGCATTATTCCCGGCTTAAAAAGGCAAAATTAATGTTTTATAAACTCTCATGGATTATATCAAATGCAGATTTATGAAGTGGCCTTTTGGCCAGAAAAGCGTCTGTAATATTCAGTAAATTCAATGTAATATTTAAAGAATTGAGATAGTCTTGTATTTAAGAATCTTGTTAAACAGCTATCATGAGATGTGAATTTATCACTGGACTTTGCATTCATTATGTTCAGATAGAAACCATTTTATTTAAACTGAATTTTTGTGCACATATTTGATTGACAGTACTGCAAGTAACACAATTTTGACATTTTGTGCTAATGAACCCTAATATTGATTTTTTTTTGTTCTACTGAGGCCTTAAAATAGTTTACGTTATCAGCTTAAACATGCTTTCTCATAAGCATGATTCAGAATTGCTAAAATCTCACAATGTGGCTAAAAGAACATGATGCTTAGTTCTTCCACAAATTTAGCCTTGACTGTAACCTATAGCCTTGACATCACATATCTCAAATAATACTCTACTTAAATAACTCTTAGATATTATTTAAATAGAGTATTGTTTGAGGTATGGGCTGTATTATGTCAAGGGTAAAGCTGTGGAACAATAGCAAGTTGTAACAGTACTTTCACAAATGTGTGTGGAAGATACAAATTAACACACAATAATCTTTTTAAATATGTCATATTTTAGATATTGGTTGTAATATGGTAAGAGCTATTCTTATTTTTTCTGGTTTGAATACAGTAGTCTTGACAAAAATCAGTAGATAAATCTATTTAAAATTCTATTGATGACGAACTTGAGCAAAGCACTTCGCAAAGGGATATTAAGAACCTTGCTTCAATGGGTTCTTAGTAATACCATATATACTATGATGGAGCGTTAAAGAATATGTTGTAATTCCCTCTGATTTTTTTGATCGACATGATACCAGTTAAGACATCACACACACCAGAAATGGCAGTCTTATATGTACTGAAACATAGCTAATGCGTTTTGAAATCAAAATCATTATAATACCTTTCTAAAAGTGTTTTTAGAACACCTAGCTTTAGAATACCCTTAAAACTATATTTCTAGAATGCAAACTTGATTTTAGAACTTGTTTTTAACAGCTAAATTTCTCTGTTACGGTATGCTTGTTGTAGGTAAAGAAGCAGGATAAGTAAAAAGTCCTTACAAATCTACACAGGCATTAAAAAATATAGCTGCAAAATAGATTGTATATATGGGCAAATTGATAACGGGCTATTCTGCCTTTTTAGAGGCCTAACATATAAAGACAGTGGTGTAGATATTGCATCTGGTAACACCTTGGTTCAGAAAATTAAACCTTTAGCAGCAGCCACATCTAGATCGGGTAAGATGACATATTCTTATTACATTTTGTAGAATTATGAATCGTCAAACTTATGTTCATTAGTATTTTCTAGGTACTAGATTTGTATTTTGCCATTGGAATGCAATGTAGAAATGATTGAATATTGGATTACTACCAGTTCCATTTGGGATTATGTATATAATTCTGATCCTTATTTCAGCAGGAGTTCTGTAAATTAATTAGCAATTAAAGAAATTATTTGTGTGTCTACTCAGAAGCCTTAGTTCAGTCTGATGGAACTTGTTGGTATTAAGTAAGCCCCATTAAATAATTACTATTTGATAACAGAGTTGGCAAAAGGAATCCAGATTAATTCGGGGGCAGTGAGGAAGGGAGAACAAGCTTTTATTTTGGCCTCCCCTGCCATATTACCTTATTGGGAAAGGTTAGGAATTCTGCGAATTGAAATCCCAATTAATCTTGAAGGTGCCATTTGAGGGCAGTTGCTTTCATTACAACTGACTCATTTCTAAATAAAATCAAAATTAGTAGCCACAAATCAAGAAAATTCATAATGGAAACAAATGTCATCCCATGTTTGCTGGAACCGATTTTTTGCAAGTTTATGTCAAGATTTGAACAATGGGGAAATCAGTTGATAAATCTTATCATAGTAATAACCCTTTTCCAACACTTGATAGGCTGTAATGCTGAACTTGGAGGCTTTGCTGGCCTTTTTGATATAAAAGAAGCTGGATATAAAGATCCAATTTTGGTGTCCGGTACTGATGGTGTTGGAACAAAGCTCAAGGTAATAAAAAATGAAGGCATCTCATAGTTTTTTCTTTATTTGGGGGTATTTTGTTGTTTATTTTTAGAGAGGCTGGTTTAAGACTAAAATCAAGTTTCATAAGAACCTCTTCATAATGGATGTTAACAGTAGAACTGGGAGATCTAAGATCAAACCCATCTCCAGCATGGAAATTCACTTCATGAATATGTGCCCCTTGCTTTTTCACTCTCCCTATCTCACATGATTGTTATTATGAATTTACAATTAAGGAGACTACTTGAAACTTTTGGAGGAAGGCAGCATATAAATGTAATAAATTTAGATCAGGGATTTCTTATATTTTTGTCCAGTGGTATATTTAAAAAGTCAATATCAGTCTTCAAAAAAATGGTTGCTGTGGTGGACATGAGCTAACAAAACATTCCTTTATTAGGTGAGAAATTGCTACTGCTTGATACTTTTAGCTTCCCCAGTACAGTGACACCCATGGACTCCATATAGGGAATTCAAAGTAGGGTATGCAGGGGATTCCATGTTCTCTCCTTGAAATCTCTATAGTCTAAAGTAGCCATAAGGGGATGGCCAACAAAATTGATCTATTCAGCAAAACCTTTTTGGAGGCTATAGCATATTATTTTATTAGGGGTGGCAAACAAATGTACTTCGGGAGACGGGGGACTGGCAAAGGCACTTTTTGTCAAGTCTCATCAAGATGAGAATTGTAAAATGATCGTGACATGCTGCTGTTTCTTCATTTTTACAACAGATTGCCCAGTTGTGTAATAAGCATAACACCATCGGTCAAGACTTGGTTGCCATGTGTGTCAATGACATCCTAGCTCAAGGAGCCGAGCCTCTCTTTTTCCTTGACTATTTTGCATGTGGGAAACTTGATGTCAGGATGGCTCAGACAATCATAGCTGGAATAGCAGAAGCTTGTAAACTAGCAGGCTGTGCTCTCCTTGGTATGGCTCTACTTCTATTATCACAGGATTTTTTTCATCTTTGGAAAGGAAGCTGGGGGATTTGTTGGGAATCTACATGATGTTGAGAATGATATATTACAGATATATCATATTTACAAATATATTACAAATCCAGACACAATTATTTTAGAATAACAATTGTTAAGCCAGAAACTATATATTCCTTTGCTACTAAAATTAAAACAACTCTTGATGACTTATATAGACAAATACATTACTAATAAATATTAATATAAATAAATTAATACAAGTACAATAGCAACATGGCTTAGCTTGGGGTGTTAAGCCCAGGTATCTGATTTGCAATGGGTTGTCACAAAGGAGATTTAAAGTGACAGAGACTGGTATCAGTAAAATTAATTCCTTGTTTTTCTCCCTCTAATATGCTAGTTTTCTGTAGACAGTTCAACATTGTATAGTTCAATAGATTTACACCATGTGAATCTTCTAGGTCTTTAACTCTACTAAGACAAGTTCCCTGGGGCAATCTTTTTTCTTTACGGGATTCTAATTCCTTGTCAGCTGGGAATTATTGGTATTGAAATCCCACATTGTAAAAGCAGTCTTAGCCATTTTTCTTTTTCCATTGTTGATTTATTTTCTTCTACAGAATTGGTAGGAAAAAATAGGCAATATTTCATAGTCGGATTCTCAGGGTAGTACTATTCCTTGGAATTAAAACGTTTATGGCATTCTAAACTTTGTCATATTATAATGTATGTAAGAATCTAGATAGGAAGATTGCATAAAACTTCACAGTAACATTTTTCCATCCCCGTCCCCACTCCCAAACTCAAGGCGGAGAAACTGCTGAAATGCCTGGCATGTATCCACCTGGAGAATATGACCTTGGGGGATTTGCTGTGGGTGCTGTAGAACGAGGACAGATGCTCCCCCAACTTGACAAGATCACTGAAGGAGACGTAATTCTTGGAATTGGTTCCTCTGGTATTCACAGCAATGGGTTTAGCCTTGTGAGAAAGATTGTTGAAAAATCCTCTTTAGATTTTTCCTCTCCTTCAGTGGGTGACTGTCCTGAACAAACACTAGGTAAGCTTTGTAAATACAGCATTTTCATACAATATAAATATTAATTTCTGATTGTATATTTAATATGTTTATACCTATGTTTATACAAATTACTTTGTAAATATTTTCCAAAAAAATGCAGTAGTCATCTCTGTCCTTGTTTTCCACCATTGTTGAATTGGCTAAACTTAAGCCAATTTCGGATTTCTGTCCCCAGCGAATATACCAACCACCAAGTGCTTTACCAGCTGCATTGATTTATAAGCTAATAAACCTATTTTATTCACTTCAATACAACTGCTCCTATAATACACTTTTCAATTTCAGTGCAAACTATCCAGAGATACCCTAATTCAGTGGTACCCAACCTATGCATCTTAGCAGCCCGGCTGGGGATGAGGTAGGGGAACTGGACCATGTGAGCAGTGAGCCAGGTGTATGCACATGCACACGCAGATTGTCTGCAAGTGGAATTCCATGCGCATGCATGCCAGCTGCCACTCATGCAAGTTGAGCTGCATGAAAGAGAGGTGCATGCATGCACACCGGCAATAGGAGACTACCTACCACCTATATACAAAGCAGTTCTTACAGCAGAAACTTCTTGAACGGGAAGCAAAATGTTTTCAAAGGGAAAAAAACAAGGAAGTCCAGTTGCCTTCAGGAAAAAGGACTTGTGGGACAACCTTGACCTGGATGATTAAGAAACTCCCCAGACACCCTAATCAGAGCTAATGTTCTGTTGTCTGTTCTGAGGAGCAGACCTATACCTATTCATACTCGAATAGGTGTAGGTTGATATAGGAAAGATACATACAGAAGGTCAATTTAGAATGGCAAATGAAGCAGATTTAATCTCATACTCTAATCCTCAACCATTCATGCATAGTACTACATAATATTCTTCCTGCTCAATGGAAATTGGATAAAAGTTTTGCCATTGAAGGAACTATTCATGTGCTTGGATCATTATACTACAAAGCCAGAATAAGCAAGCTACCATATTCAAGTATCATTACATTAGACTTTCTGCCATAAAGAACTCTTTCCAATCTAGTTTAGATCATTCTCTGGATTTATGTTATCTCATTCCACCTTTATGTGGACTATAATTTACTCTCCCTTATCAATTTATAGCAGGCACCCCGGCCACATAGGTTTCTTGGTTTTAATGAGGCACTTCAACATGTACATACTTGTTCTTTCTGTGGGAATGCAGCTCTGTTCATATATTAGATACAAAATGCTGCAGGAGGAAAAGCAACGTGACTCGATTCCTTTGCAGCCTGAAACTCACATGTACAGGCTTCCTGTTTACCAAGAAACATGTATGTTGGCTTTTTGCTCAGATATCTGTGCACTAGATGGACAGACGGCAGTTCCCTTTTTATTAACTGTGTGGATCTCTCAATTATTCTGTGAAAGAAGCATTTCAGTAATTCTAATTTTGGTTTTCTCTACTTCTGCCTTGGTGGATGTCTCTGTTGTAATGATTCCTACATTTTGGGGATTTACAGGAGAACAGTTACTCACACCTACTAAAATCTACAGCAGGATTCTTTTGCCAGTACTTCGTTCAGGTGATGTGAAGGCATATGCCCACATTACTGGAGGAGGGCTGCTTGAAAACATTCCTCGTGTCCTGCCCTCATCAGTTGGTGTAGTTCTAGGTAAGAAAGCCTTTGCAACATTTGGAGATTTCTTGTTTTTTTAAAAAATTAAATATGATTTTACAGATACGTACATTCTTACATTCTTTACAGGATATTCTTTACCTTCTACAGGCCTGGTTCAGATTTAATGTTGAACTATAATTGTACCTTACCAAAAAAAAATCTGTCTCTTTGGTTTGTATATTTTCCTAGTTAAGAAAATTAGCAGCACCTGCAAATGAGACAAAAAACAGTATTTTTAAATTCTAGAATTGGAACACAATAGCACAACCACCCTATTCTTTATCTTGCTATATTTTTTAAACATTTATTTTTATTTTTAAACAAACAAACAAAAAAACATAAAACATAAAAACCATCCTTCAGTTACATACAGTGTGTCGATTGGTTACAAAACTTCTGTACCTCCTCACTACAGTCATCACTTACAGTTTATATAAAATCTCATATTATCAATCCTTTATATATGTATACAATTATTATCATCATTAAACATTTATTTAGCTACAACCATTATTACTTCCTTTTATGTGAGATATTCTAAGTTTAGAATAAATTTACATTATGCCATTTCATCACATCATCCCCAAACCATCCAGTAATATTACATCTTTAAATTGTATTCTGTATAAAATTGTTTATCTTTGGTTACAAAACTTTTGTGCATCCTCTTCATAGTCCTCACTTACAATTTATATAAAATTTCATATTATCAATCATGTATGTATGTATGGTTATTCGGGTTTTCTCCCGCGTAAAATTGGAAGTGTCTTGGCGTGTTTCGACGAAGTCTCATTCGTCATCTTCAGGCCGGTTTACTCGACTTCATGCTTCTAGGAGCAATGTGAGATCGCAGCTGTTTCTTCCTTTTAACTGCCAGTGGGGGTGTGGGCTGATTGGGTGGGAGCTTGACTGTGTTCTGATAAGGTGGAGGTGTGGCTTTGAGGTGTTGGACCAGGGAAGAAACTGGACCACAAACACAACATCAAGACAGCATTCTGCACAAACCGAAAAATATCCACCATCCTAAGAAACCCCAAATACAAAATTGAGTTAGAAAATCAAGGAGTATATGAAATCCCATGCACGACCTGCCCCATCACGTACATTGGACAAACCAACAGAAGAATAAGTGCACGCATTGAAGAACACAAGAACTCAGTCAGAAAACAGGAACCAACTTCTTTCCTGGT